TGAGGTTGGCACAGGACCAGGCAGTGTTTCATTCTGCTGTATACCAGGTTTCTATGAGTCAGAGATGACTCTGCAGCACGTAGCAACCACAAAGTCCCACAGAATTTAAACAAGGCTGCCCTCTTTTGAAAATAACACTATTGTTAAGGAACTAACAGAAGGATACCACTTTTCCATATTTCTGTATTATTTAATAATGATTTTTGGTTTCCTGAGTGGTATAATAATTAATGTGCTCAGCTGCTAACCAAAAGGCTGGCAGTTCAGGTCCACTCAGAGGTACCTTTGAAGAAAGGCCTGGTGATTGACTTCTGAAAAATCAGCTGCATCAAGATGGCCCTTCCTCCAGATCTGACAGAAAGAGAAAGGCTTCCCCTAGAGCTGGCACCCTGAATTTAGATTTCTAGCCTCCTAAACTGTGAGAAAATAAGTTTCTGTTAGTTGAAGCTAAAAAAAAGAAAAAGAAAACCGTATGGAACACAGTTCTACTCTGACACACGTAACGTTGTTATGAGTCGGAGATGACTCAATGGCAACTGGGAATGATGATTGGTCAGCAAATCACCCTTGGCAATAAGCATATAGGTAGGCAATAAATTTCAGGCAGGATCTTTGGAATAATAATTTGCCCCCTATTGAAAAGCCGTTTCATTGTGGCAATTTAAAAGTCAACCTGTGTAAAACATGCTACATAGTAAAATAAAAAATAAGCTAACTTCCTTAAAAATTTCTCAAGGATTAGCCATTACATCAAAAGTCAAATCCCTAGGAATATAATTTAAATGCTGGATTATATTATTCCTTCCTGGCCTGCCATCTCAACCCCCAACTATGATTTTTTTAAAAAAAAAAAACAACAGCAAAAATTAATGGTCATGCTCATTGAGTTTAGAGTTCACTGCTGCAGAGAAGGAAGATACACTTGGCAGGGTTTTGACAAAGGCTAGTCTATTCCATTTCACTCTCAGGCAGGCGGTACGCATACAGATTTCTACCCATACTCATCAAGCTCATAAAGGTGTCACTCATGTTTGGATACAAGAGTCCATCACAATAAGTGATATTATAGATAATAGTACCCTTTGTCACACTGCCAAAGGAAATCTACACTTCCTTTGTTTTAATTAACATGTTCTTAAAATTTATTTTGAGGGAAAAGATACTACACAGATTAAAACAATTTTGGAATTACGTGGCCAGATAAGTATCAGTGATCTTTTCTCTCTATGTTAAGTCAATGCTATACACTTTTTTTTTTTTTTTTTTCTGGAGCGCTTAACAATTGTGTTAGAGAAAGGACATCAAATGATGCTTAGAAATGTGATACACATTTTCATTTCACACTCCATCAGCTTTTACAACTGTAGCTCAATGAAATGTAAGAGAGAGCTTGGCAAACAGCCATATTTACCAAGGTATAAAATAGGGGTCAGGTTACTTTTTTCTTTTTCCCCCAGGTTTCTTTTTTATAGAAAGAGAAAAAACAAACAAAAAAAAGTTTAATTTTCACTCCACATGACTAAAGCAGATACACAGCTAACACCCTAGAGAAAGGAACCATAATCACCACACACACTGAGGTTTCTACCATATTATAAACAGTTTCGTAAAGCAGGAAACCTTTCGTTCCTCACCCCCTTATGTTCAGGATCTACCGACACAAAACAGACTGGATCAGATCAGCTTGGATGTTAAATCTTTCACCTGCAAATAATGGCTCTTGCCCTCTGCTTCCAGCCGGGAACCAGAAACAGCTTATTCCCTTTGCAGACAAAGCTATAGGCATCAGCAAAAACACATCCTTCTAATTCAGATTTCAATCTGTCAGAAAGGATTAAAGCCTCATGCATACATAAAGAGGGAACTATAAATGATAACAGAAACATGGTCTGGAAGCACTGTGCCTTCCCAGCTGCTGTTTCACCAGCAGGGTAGAGAGGAAAGCATCTTTTACTCACCTCTCTTAAACCTGAGACTTCTCCCTTTGCTAATGGCTCACTGATGGATGGTGTGTAGACTCTGGCGTCTGATACTGGCTGCCCTTTCATAAAATGTTTTCCTGATTCATAAATGTCTACTTCGACCATTTTCCCCATGAATGAGGGGTTCTTTGGCACTAATACCTTTAAAAAAAAAATCCAGACAGAATAGTTATGTTAGTTTTAAAAACAAACAAACAAACAAACAAATAAGTCTTACTTTATAAGTTTTAGGTTTCCAAGGAGCCCTGGTGGCACAGTGGTTAAAGAACTCAGCTACTAACGGAAAGGCCGGCAGTTCGAACTCACCAGGCACTCTGCAGAGGAAAGATGTGGCAGTCTCCTTTCATAATGATTTACAGCCTTGGAAACCCTGGGCAGTTCTACTCTTATATATAAGAGTATATATAAGTTCGGTTCTTATATAATTATATAAGTTCTTATATAAGTTCGGTTCTTATGAGTCAGAACTGACTCAATGGAAGTGGGTTTTAAATTTATAAAACTATTACAAAAGTAACATAGACAGTTCCTATATATACCACACCCATCCCTATTATTAACACTGTATAGTAGTGTGGTACATTTGTTTTAATTAATGAACAATATAGACACATCATTATTAACTAAATTACATACTGTATTCAGATTTCCTGATGTTCTTTTCCCCTAATATCCTTTTTCTGTCCCAGGAGCCCATCTAAACCAAAAAACAAACAAACAAACAAACAAAACCAAACTCACTGCCACAGAGTCAATTCCAACTCATAACAACTCCTACTGGGTTTCCAAGGTGGCAAATCTTTATGGAAGTAGATTGCCCAGTCTTCCTTCTGCAGAGCGTCTGGTGGGTTTGAACCGCCAATCTTATGGTTAGCAAATACTTTAGGCACTGTACCACCAGAGCTCCTTGGGAACTTATCTAAGATACCACATTATATTTAGTTGTTGCTTAGGTTCCTTTTGGTTGTGACAGTTTATATGTGTTGTTATTCAGAGGTAGTACTTCATAGGTGTTTTGAGAAAATATCATTGTTAAAAGGTTTGAGGTTTTTATGTGTTCTGTACAATATCTGAAGGTTCTCACCAGACTGGTTGCAGAAATTATTACTGTTAGCTGATGCAAGCTTGAGGCATAACAAAGTAAGGGCATGGTAGTAGCTAAAAGGGGTTGAGGAGAGGTACAATATAATGGATGGAAGATACGGATATTGTGTGGTGGAGAAGCAACATTTGTTTTTTCCTTTACATTTGTCTTTAGGATTTAAATTTCTATCTCCTCACTCAAAAAACCCAGTTCCTATTGAGTTGACTATGACTCATATCCACCCCATGTGTGACAGAGGAAAACCATGCTCTATAGAGTTTTCAGTGGTTAGTTTTTCAGAAGGAGATCACCAGGCCTTTCTTCCCAGGTGCCTCTGGGTGGATAACCTCCAACCTTTTGGTTAGCAGACAACATTTGCACCACCTAGGGGACTCCTCACTAACTCAAGGGAGCATCCTAAAGTGGGTTCATGTGGGCCATGAGAATAACAGTGATATCTGGAGATACCAGGTAGGGTTTCACAAGGTTACATGTTGTCCACTTGGAAGTTCTGGGGCCTTCTAAGAGGAATCTGCCTTCCAGCTGCTCAAGGATCTAGGGACCTAAACTTATCAGCCACTCCTTGTAAGGAAGATTGGGCAATTTACTTCCATAGAGATACTGCCTCAGAAACTGAAGGAGGGGTCGCTATGAGTCAGGACTGACTCGAGGGCAGTGAGTCTGAAAGGTATGGAGGGAAGGCATTTTGGGGAGGAGCTACCTGGCTGTAGACACTGTTTTTTAATTGCAGGAAGCCTGCTGTCCTAGGACATGTGGAAGGCAGACCTGGGAAATCCCCCAGCAATCAGCCAAACCCTTTTGGATGGGCCTTTGATATTCTGCTCTTTGCTGCTCCATACATTGAAGAAAACAGACATCACTGATGAAAGCCTTATATTTTTAGTGCCTTCTAAGCTAGATGTCAGAGTAATGGTTTGAGTAGACACTTCAAATAAAGGCCTACATACTTGTGTGTGTGTGTGTGTGTGTGTACAAGCACACATGAGTGCATGGAGTGGAGGGAGAGAACATTTAAAAGGAACTTTTTCAATATCTAAACATTGGTGTTGGGAGCTAAATGACTCCTTAAACTAATGGTTGCCATTCATTTTTTTTGCTCTATTATAAAATGTATGTGTTCGTTACTCCTGGAAGCCTGCCTCCATATAGAACCAGCTACTCAGAAGGGTACTTTACTTTGGCTAGTTCACAGGAAACTGTCAGATGGTCTTTTTCCACTAGAGATTCCTGATAAAAGTACTTGTTTACCTTGTGCAAATGTTTCCCCTCCTGTGGGACTTACAGGTAGTTTGTAGAATTATGTCTCTTCCACACTTCTAATTTAGTACTAAAGCTATTTGCCAATCTTTTCAAGCTAAGATTCTAAATAAATAGACAGATTGTAATAGGAGTTCTGGTGGTGTAGTGGTTAAAGCATTCAGCTGCTAACCAAAAGTCTGGCGGTTTGAACCCAACAAGTCGCTCAGCGGGAGAAGGAAGAGGTAATCTGCTTGCATAAAGATTTACGGCCTTGGAAACTCCATGGGGGCAGTTCTGCTTTGTCCTATAGGGTTGCTATGAGTCAGAAATGATTTGATGGCAGTGGATTTGGGCTTGTAGTAATATTTTGATATCTAGATGATATGATCTTCATCTCTGGAAGTCATCTTACTCAGAAAAAAAATAATTATAATGAAATATTTGATATGCTTAGTTGTAGGGACAAAAATAAGTCAAATGAGAGCCAGAAGTACCACAGCCAATTTCTCTGAGAGGCACAACTAGATCTTAGTCTTTCTGAGTTTGATTTTTTGACCACTGAGTACGTAGTTTCATCAAAATATAGGAAGAGGGTCATCTGGGTGGTGTTACTCATGGCAAGCTAACTAAAAAAGCTTTTGAATCAGGACATGAAAGCACTTTTAAACCAGTTTTCCTAACATGAAAATTAAAAAAAAAAAAAAAAGAAATCTCTCTGGAGGAAACTATTCCTGGGAGATCTGGTGCTATTTCGGGGGAAAATCACCCTCCTTGATCTGCTGCCTTGATCTGAATGAAGGGCTCAGTGTTTCTCCCCCTCCGGTTTTAATAATTGGAAAAAGCCCGACTGCTTTAAATTGGAGGAAACAGCTAATGAGGCATGCCATTGCCTTTAAAATGAAGGGAAAGAAAGTTCCCTGCTGAGGCAAAAAACCCAGATGGCAAGAGAAAGGAGAGGGAAGAGGCAAGCAAAATGCAATCAAGCTCCTCCCCAGGGCTGAGCAGAAGGTTGGCCTGGATGGGAAAATGGCTCTCTGGAGTATATTAATGAGATGGAAAATGGGGGAGAGGCTCAGCTCAAATGTGGAATGTTGGGAATCCTACTCAACTGTAGTCTCTGCTGGGTACTGAACAGGGCATGTTTAGTCTGGTCTTTTATAAGGCCCCCTAAATTTCCTAGGGCCCAGTGCCCAGTCTGGTATTATTCCATGTAGAACGTAAATGCTAGAGGCCTCATCAGCTACTGCTGCCCCAGTTTCTAACATGGGCAGTCTATTCTCTTGCCCATCACTTACTTAACGTGCCCACACTATCCTTAAGTGTCTTCCAAAGCTGTAATTCCAATGATGACCTGTAGGAAAAAATTTCATTTCTCATTTGATGAGAAAGGAGAGAGAAAAAGAAAAAAAAAAGGAAATCGATTTGCCTGGAAGGACCCATGAAAATCTTTGCACCCCTATGGGAGTCTGTGTATTCCAAGCCTTGGTCCATGGCAAGGTTATGCCTCTGAAGGAAGCATTCTGTTCACTTCAATCAGGTTTGGATTGGTTTACCACCTGGAAAAGTAAAATCCCAAATGCTGAAATAGAACTCTGGCTACACATATGACAAGACAAACTAGCTTACATGGGCAGGGAAGGAAGGCTAGTAACTGGGGATCCTCCAGGAGTGGCCTCCAACACTCTTAAAGTGCACTTTGGTTTGACCTTCACACTGGTCTCTAGGGTTATTCAGATAATTTGAGTTGAGTCCAAGGGGTAGACTCTTTTTGCCATGTCCCTAGCATTCTGGTCAAGGTAGAAAATAAAAAAGTAAAATAAAAGTAAAAGCAGCAAAACTGAAAGGGAGGAAAAAAACCCAACGGCAACAACAAAAAAAATCATGTTCAATGGATGTGACAAGATGAAACCCCTGCCCTTTAACTCTGATGTCTTCCAGGCAGACATTCTTCAATTTTTCCCCCTACGTTGCCAGGCTCTGGGAATTTTGGCAGTGCTAATTGTATGGTTCCAAACTCCCAAAATCTTGAAAGTAGTCCTGTCAAAAACTATTGTTATTGTTAGGTGCCTGACTCAAACAACCCTACGTATAATAGAACAAAACACTGTCTGGTCCTACACCATCCTCACAATCATTGCTATTTGAGCCCACTGTTACAGCTACTGTATCAATTCATCTTGCTAAGGGTCTTCCTCTTTTTTGTTGTTTACCAAGCATGATTTCCTTCTTCAGGGACTGGTCTCTCCTGATAACACAACCAAAGTACATGAGACAAAGTGCTCTAAGGAGCATTCTGGCTGTACTTCTTCTAACACAGATTTGTTTGTTCTTCTTTCAGTCCATGGTATATTCAATATTCTTCACCAATACCACAATTCAAATGCGTCAATTCTTCTGTGCTCTTTCTCATTCATTGTCCATTTCTTACATGCGTATGACACAACTGAAAGTACCATGGTTTGGGTCAGGTACACCTTAACCTTCAAAGTTACACCTTTGCTCTTTAATACTTTAAAGAGGCCACTGGCAGCAGACTTGCCCAGTGCAATACATTGTTTTGATTTCCTGACTGCGGCTTCCAAGGGTGGTGATTGTGGATCTGAGTAAACTGAAATCCTTGACAATTTCTCTGTTTATCATGATGTGGCTTACTGGTCCAGTCATGAGATTTTTTTTTTTTTTTTTCATTTAAGGTGTAATCCTTACTGAAGACTATATGTAGTCTTTGATCTTTATCAGTAAATGCTTTAAGTCCTTTTCATTTTCAGCAAGAAAAGTTGTTTTATCTGTGTATCAC